AAGTATTCAACCCCTTTGCTACGGCAATCCTAAATCAGTTCAGATGCAAAAGATTAGATTGAAAGGTCACAAAATTAGTGTAACTGTCTCTGACTGTGTGTAATCAATGTGGTTTAACTTGACTTCAGAGTAAATTCAATCTATTCAAGCCACAATTCGAATAGTGATACAACAAACCAACCGTGAAGACCAAGGAGCTTTCCAAACAAGTCAAGGATAAAGTGGTAGAGAAGCACAGGTCAGGGGAATATTACAAGAAAATGACAAAGTTGCTGATTATCCCTTTGAGTACGGTGAAGTCCATCATTAAGAAGTGGAATGTGCTTCATACCACCCAGTCACTACACAGATCAGGCCGCCCTAAGCAGCTGGGCAAACAGAAAACTGGTTAGGGATGCCACTGTGAAGCCGACAGTGACTTTGAAAGATTTGCAAAGGTTCATTTCTGAGATGGGAGGCAGCGTTTATACATCGACAATATCGCGGTCCCTACACAAAGCTAGCCTGTATGGGCAAGTGGCCAGAAAGAAACCATTACTGAAAAAGAATCATCTTAAATTTCACATGGAGTTTGTGACAAAACAAGTAAATGATACTGCAGACATGTGGCAGAAGGTTTTGTGGTCAGACAAGACAGAAATTGAGCTTATTGGTCTAAATTCAAAGCGTCATGTCCGTGTAAGCCCAACACAGCACATCATCCACTCAACACCATCCCAACTGTCAAGCATGGTGGTGGCAGCATCATCATTATTCATTTTCATTATGTATGAAACGTTTGACTGGTAGAGCAGATTTTCTTTAATCTAAGTGCTTGTCTGAATGTAATATTTCGTTTGGTGTGTCGAGGGTGAAAGCTTTCAAAATGTAAGTATTGTGGTCTATCAGTCGGTTTACGGTATAAACCAGTATGTAGAAAACCATCTTTTAATGTCAGGTTTACATCTAAAAAACTTATTTGAGTATGAAATAATCTAGCGTAAATTTAATAGAAGTGTGGAACGAGTTTGCATGTCTATAGAAAGATAGTAAGGAGTATTGGTCTCCTATCCAAGTGAAAAAAAATGTCACTTATGTATCGTTTCCAAATGTTTGGTTTCTCTTTATAACTTTCCAACAGTCTCGTCTCTAAGTCTCCCATGAAAATATTGGCATAGTTTGGTGCCATCTTGGTCCCCATAGATGTGCCTTTTGTCTGAGTATAAAATTCATTATTAAATTCAATGTAAGAACTACTTTAGCTCTGACATTAAGAACTATGACCGTCACATTGATTCTTTGAAACTAACTATGACCGAAAGAGGGTATAAACAAAACGCTGAGATTCAACAAGTTGACAAAGTTAACAATATTTCACGTGTATCTGCCTTGAAACAGTCACCTAAAACAAATTCCTCTCGTATTCCACTAGTTATCACATATCACCCAAAATTAAAAAACCTACCCCGGATACTGAAAAAGCACTTTTACCTCCTTCAACTTAATGATAGACTAAAGACTAATTTTACGGAAGTTCCTGTTGCTTCTTTTAGGAAAAATAAGACTTTGAAATCCCAATTAGTGCATGCAAAAGTTATCTTTAATGCGACACCTAGTGGAAGTTATCCCTGCAATGGCAAACGTTGTTAAACCTGTAAGTTCATGCAGCAAACTAACAATTTCTTTGATAAAGACAACCAAAGACAGTTCAAAATCAATAAACCCATAACCTGCACTACAAAAAACGCTATTTACTTAATCCAGTGCCGAAAATGCAACTTCTATTATGTAGGCCAAACTATACGGGAGCGGTTTAATAACCACAAATCTTCAATCAAACGAACAAAGAACTTCCGGTTGCAGAGCATTTCAACATGCCTGCCCACACTCTTGACGACATGATACTGACAGGTATAGAGACAAATTTAACATCAAACAGAAACAGGGAAATTAAAGAAGCTTATTGGATAGCATTGCTAATTACTGTGACGCCGAATGGCATCAATCTAGACCTGGGATTGTTGACCTTCGCGCGTCTCTAAAAAAATTCCGAATAACTTGTAATTAAGTTTGTAAAGTTTTATTATTATTATTATTAATCACATTTTTATTCATGCTTCTATTTCTCTATATTATTATTTCAGGTATCGATGTACATTATTATTTTCAAATGTATACTTCAAATGTAGATTAATTCGAAATGTGTCTAACTAGAAGAAACACGTGTAACCGGTGTACACATGATTCCGTCTCATGAAATAGATCAAGTGCAGCAAGTTTTATTTTGTTTTTTTTCTCACCTAGCTGGTGAAATGTTAAAGAGTTACTTTGGATACTGCTTGGAGTTGTTTAAGCAATATCGTTATGTCCTCTGGTAACATTTCATTCCAGAAACGAGTCCCTTGATGCGAATAAACGAATTGATGATCATATCGGAAATAAACTACAACTGCAGGCACTAGAGGAAATGAGTTGATTCAAATGCTCCAGAGTTAACACGAAAATACACTGAAGTCAGTTTTTTTTCTCTCCCTCTTTTTCTAAATTCTACTCAAGAGCTTGGGGGGGGGGGGCAGACAAGAATTGAAGAAAATTGGCCTTTAACGTCTGAAACATTCATATTAAAGTCACAGACCATCGTAACAGTCTTAGGTCTGTAAAAAAAAAATTGCTTATTTGGTAATCTCATTCAACAGTTTCAAAATAAAATCATATATTGTTCAAAACGTGAAAACTACATTTCATGTAATATATCACAGCCTCGTACTTATCCACTGAAAGGACCAATGGATGTTATTTATTTTCAACGGAATCAAACATAATACAGAGGCAAGAAAAACTAGTTATAGTCACGGAACTTAAAAAAAAATGTATCAATAAAATGATCGTGCAGTTCGATGTGAAAAAAAGAAAACGTTAAATAATACCGTTCACAGGGTTTTAAAGTTTATTTTATATATTTTATTGACTTTTAAATAGACCTAGCTATTTACGTATTTACTATCAGTTTTGTCTTTAGTGATTTTTCCAACTTGAAAGTGCTGTCTTCTGCAAACAAATAAAATGTTTGTTTTTTAACCAATAAACTTAAAATCTAAACAGTAATGTAGACCTGATCTTATTTAATAATAGCTGATCTCACTACAATTTTTTTTTCTCTATTAACTGTCGACGTTGTTATGCTCTTCTCTACGGTGTTTTAAGCAAAAAAGTCCTACAAAACTATAAAAAAAAAAATTTCTCACTTTTTTTTTTCTTTCCTTAGGAATAACAAAAGAAACCCTATGCAAGGATTAAACGTTATTTGACTATTTTTGTGTTTTCTTCTCTAAATTTAACCTATAAATTTTATCTCTACCTTTGAATAAAGAAATTTTTTATGCCATGTAAAACGTACTGAGTTTATTCTTGACATGTGTGGATGGGCTTTGTAAACTACGGGTAGAATTTTTCTTTCATCGTTTTAAAAATATATTTATCGGTACACGCCTAAGTATTAAGCTAAACGACGAATGTTTGACATCGTTGAATGGCCATCAATGTGTATTACTTTTTCAAGCGGATGAACAGTTGCGTAGGAATCTGACAAATTAAATAATAATAAACAATTGAGCATTTAGTGGATTTCAAAAACGATATTCAGCCTGATAAAAAAAAGTTTATACTCGGCCTTACTTGTGAATATTGTAAGTTCCTTTTAACCATAGGCAAACGTAATTTTAGTTTTTGTCATGATCTCTTCTTTCCCATAACTTGTATTTTCTTTTGGACTTACTGATAAATCTGTATGTATTATATCTAACAGATACTTTTAGAAATGGTGTGAGTTAACTTATAGCTTCATATCGTAATTTCCGCCCACGATTTTCATGTGTAATTTCATCATCAGTACTTCTCAAATCTATTACAATAATACTCAATTTTTGTCTGTTCTGAAAATGAGAGCGCACTTTGCTATCTAAATGCGCATGCGCGCGCAATTCGAAAAGGAAAGAGTTTTCCCGTCAAGAACAATGTAGCTGATCATATATTCATGCTGCTTGTTGTTCTGTTTAGAAGATCTGTTTAGCGAGGTACGCACACCCTGTTTCATTAGGTATATTTGCCACTCTTTGTTCTGCTTCCATATCATTGAACCCCCCCCCCCCCCAATGTCATACTCTGATCGAAAGCTCAAAGATAAATGAGGTATAAATATCTTAATACCAAAATTGACCGTCTAATATGCAGAATAAGCAAATAAAGCAGCCCAAGTTTCTTCGTTTTTTTTAAACCACATAATAATTAATATTTATTATTCTTTCACAGCTCGGTTATTTTGTTCAATAAAAACCGACAAGAAAAAAATGAAAGACATTCTTAAACTCATTTTGAGGATGAAAATTTGCATAAAATGAGAAAATTCACGTCTCATATCACACACAGTTACATTCAAGTAACTTGCTTTATCCTTTAATTCACTTTTGTTGCATTTCAATACAGTCTCCACCTGAATTGGCCGTTTCTTCTACTAGTGTGAGGCCCATCTGAACTCTCCTGAACAAAGAATGACAAACATGGCGCATACATACATTGATTTTGAGATGCCAAATAAGCGTTCAGATATAGGAAATTCACACCTCTTCATATTTATCACTGTCAGGAACTAACCATATTCTGCTTCTGGGCTTTATTTTGATTCGATCCCAACGGTATAATCACCGCTACGTGGATAAATGGTAATCAAATATGCGCGTTTTCCGGTAGCTTAACATTTTATATCGGCTCAGAAATCTACTCTAGAGTGCCATCAAGCCGAACGCCACAAGCGAATGCCCAATCTGTTCCTAAAAGGTACAGCACTTCATTACTGGGTTCTGCCTGGGGGGTGGCCCCTGTCAACTTCATTCTCACGCCATTTATTAACTGATAAATTGGAGTCAGTTCTAAATATCTAGGTTACTCAACAACACATTAGATATACAAATGGTGAGGCGTTTGAATGTACAGTAGAATTAGCAGAAAATTAACCGAAGCTTTAATTATGGCGCATGACTGCAAAATTGCTTTTGAACGAACTATGTATTGTAAAAATAGATAAGTCAAGAAAGAGAGAGCGAGAGGAAACAATTAATTAAAAGTTCATTAGAAATAACTGCGCTATTCACTAGCACTGTATTATATATAAGCATGGTATGCATATTTATACATAACATTTGACTAAAAGTATACAATTGTTAAGCCTTGCCTATAATATAGTAGTTAAATAATAAATCAACTTTTTTTTTTAAACTTAATCTTCCCTTCGTTCAAAGGCTTCCACTATAAAGTAAGTGTGAGTAAATGAATACACAGTCACGTGGTTTTAACCAATCGGCTTTTTAAATACGTTTTTCTAAGCTATTTATGCACTAAGTCGTTTCTGGGTCCATGACAGTGTTTGTTACAGGGTCTCTCAATAACATGCGAGTCACATAATCAAATGTCAACAAAAGTACCATCAATACTAGTATTAATCCCGTTAATTACTGCTAAGGTCACACAGAAAATTAGCGATTTCACCCAATATTTTTTGGTCAGTTCAGAACTGAGTGTTGTAATCTTCAGTAGTCAACACCGTAAGAGCCAATCAGTAATTTGTAAGTTAGATATAATCATAGTGACGCAAGGACTTTGGTATTTTGTCTTGTTCTTGTCCGTCTACCAGAGCACCCACCAATGGCTCAGCAGTAAGTCTACAGGCTTACAACGCTAAAAACCTGGTATCGATACCCATGGTGAGCAGAGCACGGGTAGATCTCTGAGGAGATTTACGCTTAACAACAACCAAATAAACCATAGGCCCAAATTAAGTACGAAATTGAGTTCAACGTTATGTAAATACCACGAGTATGGTGTAACGTGAATTCTTTTAATCTACATATAACTACACTGATGCTTCCTCTGTGCTGCAAATCTACGCTACTTTTATTAATTTAAAAGCAAAACAAAGTATCATTTCAAACATCGATATTTTTACCAACATACATTTTAATGTAACTACTAATCTATACGTTTATACTACATTCTTTTTTCTGAACTTAAGAACTATGTTTATTGGATAAGGTTTGTACCTGTGTGGCTCTGTCCATCATATGTCGGACATAATAGCTGTGATAGTGGCAGTCACGCGGCCACTGACCAGCCAGGTAAATCGTGTCCAGAGAGGCGGTTCGTCGAATGTAGGGGGCAGCACTAACGGACTTAATGTTCAACGTCTTTGACTTCTCTGCTGAAATAAACCAGAAGAAACATGTACAACTTATTAAATATTGAGTCTATCATTCCTTCAAAAGATAAAAGAAACTACAAAAAAGGCACATTGTAACAAGCATAACCTGTCAGTAATGCTTACAAGTATTTACTTCCATAATGTAATTTGCTTTTCAGTAACTTATTTTGACTAACCTACTTGTATAAAGCATGAGGTATGATTCGAACAATCTCGTGACATTTTACATTGGACATAGGATGGGGGTTCAAACACTCCTGTGACATTTTACATTGGACGTAGGATGGGGGTTCAAAAACTTCTGTGACATTTTACATTGGACGTAGGATGGGGGTTCAAAAACTTCTGTGACATTTTACATTGGACGTAGGATGGGGGTTCAAAAACTCCTGTGACATTTTACATTGGACGTAGGATGGGGTTCAAACACTCCTGTGACATTTTACATCGAACGTAGGATGGGGTTCAAACACTCCTGTGACATTTTACATCGAATGTAGGATGGGGTTCAAACACTCCTGTGACATTTTACTTTGAACGTAGGATGGGGTTCAAACACTTCTGTGAATGTTATTGTTTGACGTTTAATTACCGCATAATCACTGAAAGAAAGACAAATTCCCACTTCAATATTAGTATTTGCACATACAAAACGCAGCCATCGCATTATAACTTTTTCTGTTTCATCCGAGTCTTATAATACGACAAAACATAAACTTCACTGCTGTAAGTAATTTAATCATGTACTAATACTTTTCATTAGAAATTTCAGATTGTATTTACCACATTATATTCGTTAATGACTGGTGCGCTTCAAACAAACTAGATACAAATGTAAAATACACTTGAACTACTTTTTCTTATGAATGCTGCTAAAAAATTACTTTCATTGAAATATTCGTATCCTTTACTATGAATTATTATAAAAAAAAAAACAAGTCTGATTTCATTGCCACATTAAATACAAAAGTTATTTGGCCATGGTGAATGAAAAATAACATTTTATTTATTTTGCAACAGGAACGAATTACACTTTGCATTTACATTATCGAGAGAAAGTAATGTCATAGATAAACTGAATATATTATTCACTAAGAATTTTCTTGTGTGTGTGCGCGCGCGCGAGTTACAAACTTTTTTAAAAAGTTTTAATACTACCTGTTCATTTTGAAATTGTTTGGAATTAGAGTTACTTAGCCGTAGCTAATCGCTTTTTTATTCTAACCATTCTTAGTTACTTTTTATCACTTGTATATATTTAACTAAAATCTGTGCCGTTGACTGTGCAATAACATCTTCATAATACACCATAATACCAAAAGTATATCGACAGTAAGACCAAGCTCTGGTCTTTCTTAGAGTCTGGACTCTGATAATAAAAATTCACACCATTTCTGGTGGAACAAATAATCAATTCTCTTGCAACTCCAAATATTGCAAGAATTTGAGGTCTGTTCCTCAGGAAGCGTTTCAATTGTATTTAGTTTCTATGAGTTGTCAGAATTCATTGTTGGATGATGGGCGGCATGGCACAACACACCAACATGCTGAAAAAGGTATGAGCCTTCTTATAAAAGTGTGGAGATTCTGAAATATGCAGCGTTGTCCAAAATATTACACTACGACATGAAATTCTATGACGGATTTATTATTATATATTTATTTTAATATCGATGTTTGCTTAAATTTAATTTATATTAACAAATGTACATAACTTATACTGTTGAATATGTATTGCGAAACTCCCGCCTATTCTCTAAAGTTGTAGAAGATTCTCGAGTGTAAAAATCAACAATATATGTGTACGTAAACGCTGGTGTAGCGTTTGTATTGTTG